TGGAAAGGAGGGAGGAAGAAAGGAAGGAGAAAGAATGGAAGGAAGGAAAAATGGAAAAGAGGGAGGGAGCAATGGAGGAAGAATGGAAGAAAGGAAAGAGAGGGAGGGAGGAAGAATGGAAAGGAGGGAAGAAGGACAAAAGGAAGGAGGGAGAAAGAATGGGAAAGAGGGAGCAATGGAGGGAGAGAGAATGGAAGAAAGGAAGGAGAGAGGGACCGAGGAAGGAAGAATGGAAAGGAGGAAGGGGGAGAGGAAGAAAGAGAAAGGAAGGAAGGACGGAGCAAGGGAGGGAGGGAGAGAGAAAGAATGGAAGAAGGGAAGGAAGAGAGGGAGAAAAGAAAGGCCACCTGCACCCCGCAAGCAGACCTCAACCTGCCCTTAATGGAAGACGACGATGCACAGATAGTCCTGGAGATACGACTGCCGATGAAGGGAGCTCGAGCCAGGAAGCTTTTGCAGACCACGCGAAGGCAGCCAAAAGGGGGGTCTTGGGTGAACCGCAAGGAAAATGGCGGCCCCTCGCTGACCTCCTTCCTTCCCCGAGGGGAGAAGGCCCGGAGACCTTCAGGAGGGAAACAAGCCACGATGGACGGGGCCCCAAGGCCTGAGCAATCCTGGTGTCAGCTCTGGAAGGAAGCCATATTGGGATCCGGTGCTGCCACGTAGCCTGAGAAAGGGGGGGAGGGGTGCGTGGGTTCAATTGAGTAGCTCTAAGCAGACAAAACAAAACTCTTTCGTTAGGCCGAGGTCATTAAGTGCGGCGCAGGATGAAGTGAGGAGCTTACTCTGGGACGGATGGGGATGGGGCCAGGCGACGTGATGACGGCCAAGAGCGGGATGGATTTGTAGCTTGGAATATGGCAAAGGAGCCCGAAAACTTTCCGATTGCGGATTCCACAGATGTGCCCGTTTGCTATCTTAGCAAAGCAATCTTTGAGAAGACGTTTGTCTTGGAGTTATTGGCTGGGAAGGAGGGTTGGTGGGACGCTGACACCTGGAGGGAGGGCATTGGAGGGGGGGGACCCTTGTAGCCACCCCTGCGGTCGGTCGTAAGTGCGAATTATTTCGGGGGGGGGAAGCGCACAGCAGCAGCAGCTGCAAAGCAACAGCTTAGGAGTAGCTTTTTGGAGGCTCTGTTGGGATTTCGAATGGCCTTTCCGTGAGTGGTCGTATCTCGAGGAAGGCCTGCGCTGTGGATGGAAGTGGGAATAACAAACGCGGAACTCTTTGAGTCTGGACGTCTCTCTCTTTGGAGATCGAGGGAGATCCGGGCAGTCCTTGAATTACAACCATCCCTTTAGTGGCTGTTTGAAGTTACAACGGCACTGGAAAAAGAACGTGTGTCTTTCTCACACTTAGGACCGTTGCAGATGCCTGGTGGGTCACGTGATCAAAATTAACAAACTGAGGTGATTCGCTTACCGGCTGGGGCAAGAAAGGTCGTAAAATGGGGTGAAACTCACCTAGCAGCTCTCTCGCTGAGCCATGGAAACCTGGGGCTGAACTGCGGTTGTAAGCCGAGGACCACCTGTGAGCGAAAGGTTTTTTGGGGGGGGGAACGTCGCGACCGTCGGACAAGCCAAACCAAGGCAGAAGCCAGATTCACTTAACAACCGGGTTGCTGACTGTTGCTATGAACCACGGCGATTCGCTTAACGACCGGGCTGAGAAAGGCCGCAAAGTGGGGCAAGACAACTGTCTCACTTACCAATGGAAACCTGGGGGCTCCCGTTGTCTTTGCAACCTGATCCAAAAGGTCAGGCCCTCCCCAGGGACGGGTGTCCATTCCCCGGCCAAAAGACCCGAACCCCGAGATGGCCGAGAGGTGTTTGCAAAGGGCCTCCTGGAGCCATAAATCACAGGAGGTGACAGGAGATCCCTGGACAGGCAGACAGGGGAGACCTCGGGGGGGGGGGGGGGGGGGCCTACTCGGAGGGAAGACAATGGCTGCACCGGCAGAATTGCTCTAATTAAAACAAGCAAACAAGCAACAACGTTTAGCTAATTAGAATGAGAAAAGAGAAAGGAAAAAAAAGCCTTAGCCAAAAAAAAAAAAAAAAAAACGTTTCCCTGAAAATACGACCTACCCTGAAAGTAATTCCTAGCTGGATTTTTACCCGTGAGCCCAATAGAAGCCCTAATTCAGACCCCACCCACGCCGGAGTGGACAGGTAAAAATTAAGCTGCAGTGCAGATTTGAGGGGGTGGAGCTGCCCTACTACGACAGGTGTAGCCAGGCCTCGCACACCCCGACACCTGCCTTGCCGGCCCATTTCTTCTGCAGCCGGCAGGCCTTTCCTGATAACCAAATCCAGAGCTCCCTTATTGGCCGCAGAGGCCATCGGGAACACCTTGCCAGCCGTAGAAGAAGAAGCTCCGGGAGGCTTGTCAGAATCTCTCCTGGATCCGTTTCCATCCCTTGTTCCTTGTCTGGCCTTCAAAGGTGCTTTGGAGAATAGCTTGACCCCCTTCCTCCTCCTCTCTGGGGCAGCCCCTCCTCAAAGGACTGGAAGATGGCTACTTAGTTTTGCCCCCCCGATGCTCCTTCCTTCTTCCCAGACGAGCAGAGCACTTGGCCTATTTTGTTTAAAGCTCCCTTTCATAATTCAGGCCACCTTCGCTCAGATCCAACCATTTCTTCGAAGGTGCCAATTATCCCGTTATTCGCTTGATCGTGCGCATTCTCTCAACGCACCGGCTGGCTCTTCCTCCCTTTCCCATCCTTCTCAATGACCTGCCGAAGAGCGAACATTTCTACATCTTGTTCCTGGCCACTTTTTGTACTGTCAGGTGGAAATCTGCTAAGCACCTTATCTCAGCAAATGGATCCCCCTGCAACTTGTTGCGTTCGCTCTTGCTGCCTTTTCCTCGGTGTAAGAAAAGAACCGACACCTTTCTTCCAGCCACCAGGTGTGGACGCATCCTCCAGAAATACATCAAGCAAGCTGCACAACTACAGCGCTAAAGTGAGCTAACGTTCCCACTGTAGCCCTTCTCTAGATACACTGTCTACACCTGCAGCCCAGCCAATCTTTCAATGAAGCTGTACAGCTAGCGCTTCTCTAGATACACCATCTATACCTGCAGCCTAGTTCGTCTTTCAATATTCCCGTAATAGGCTTTGGAGGCAGCCGGGAAGGGTCAACTGCTGCAAGATTCCCAGTTAATTTGGGTCCCTGTTCCTCTTCATTTTAGTTCCTGAGACAGTTCCTGTTAATTTTAATATTTACGCTGTTTTTATATTCCTGATTTTATCATGCTGTAAGTCGCTCAGAGTTGATTTGAATAGGGATATATATACAGTTTATTTATTTATTTTTGTCAGTTGCTGACAAAATAATAGGTATAAGTAAAACATAGTTATGAATACATGGATACATATAAGAATAAAAGAAACAATAGGACAGGGACGGTAGGCACATTGGTGCGCTTACGCACGCTCCCTACAGACCTCTTAGGAAAGGGGTGAGGTCAATAGTAGACAGTCTAAGGTTAAAGTTTTGGGGGTTTGGGGAAGAAACCACAGAGTCAGGTAGAGTATTCCAGACATTGACCACTCTGTTGCTGAAGTCGTATTTCCTGCAATCGAGTTTGGTGCTGTTTACCTTGAGTTTGTATCTATTGTGTGCTCTTGTGTTGTTATGGTTGAAGCTGAAGTATTCATTGACAGGTAGGACATTGCAATGTATGTTTTTATATACTATACTTAGATCGGACCGAAGGCGGTGTAGTTGTAGGTTTTCTAGGTCTAGAATTTCGAGTCTGGTGGCATAAGGTATTCTGCAACAAGTAGAGGAGTGGAGAACTCTTCTTGTGAAATATTTCTGGACTTTCTCAACTGTGTTAATATCAGATACATAATGTGGGTTCCAGACTGATGAGCTGTATTCGAGTATTGGTCTAGCAAATGTTTTGTATGCTCTAGTTAGTAGTGTAATATTACCAGAGAAAAAGCTACATAAGATTAGGTTAACAACTCTTAACGCCTTTTTGGCTATGTAGTTGCAGTGGGCTCCAGCACTTAGGTCATTAGAGATGAGTACTCCAAGATCCTTGATATATAAACTCAATCAATCAATCAATTCCTCAATCCATCAAACAGGGCAGTCCACCTGCAGGCAGACTACTTGCTAGCAGATCACTGGGCCAATTCTGAAGTGCTAGTTACCCCACTTTGAAGCCTTTTGGAGCACAGCACTGTGATGTACAAGGCAACAACTGGCCAACATTGATTCTGTCCATGCAGTCAGACCATTTGGAGAACACCCAGTGCAGACTTGGGAAGGGAAGGTGCCAAGTAACACATGCCATCCATCCAAGGAACGATGGATGGAAACTGACCAAGGAGAGGTTCACCCTGGAAATAAGGAGGGATTTTTCTGACAGGGAGAACAACCAACTAGTGGAACAGAAGTTGCCTTCAGAAGTTGTGGGAGCTTCATCCCTGGAGGCTTTCAAGAAGAGATTGGACTGCCACCTGTCAGAAATGGTGTAGTATCTATTGCTTGGGCGGGGGTTGGACTAGATGACCTACAAGGTCTCTTCCAACTCTGTTCATCTTTTAATAATTCCTCTCCAGGGTTTTTCTTTTCTTTTTACAGACCATTTTTTGTTACAGGAAATTCCTACTTCTCCAGGGAGATAGAGAGAGACCCTACTCTATAAGTTTTTCTACAACGGGCCAAAACAGGTGGGGGCATTTGGCTGTGAGACTAAGTAAACTATGGTTCTGTACCAGTTTTTTTTAAAAAAATGTTGATTTCTACTACATAAGTGCGCTTTGGATGCATAATTTGGTTGTATTCTGTGCGGAGTCCACTAGGGCTGGGTCAGACTATAATCGCAGTAGAAAGAAATAATAATTTTCATCACTTTCCCCCCTTTAAATACTAACATTTGGAGCAGGGGTATCCAACTCTGGCAGCTTTAAGACTTGTGGACTTCAATTCCCAGAACTCAACGCTGCCTGGGGAATTTTGGGAGTTGAAGTCCGCAAGTCTTAAAGTTGCCAAAGTTGGGACACCCTTGAATATTTTATTCTGCTTCTACACTTCAACATATCACATTCACTCGCATAAAAACCTCTATTTTTTTAACTCCTCTCTATTATAAAAACGTGCGTTTTTAATCTCTTATTGGTAATTCCATTGCTTCCTCGGAAACTTCTTGTTTAGTTCTTTTACCTACTTCCAAATTATATATATATATATTATTTAATTTCCACCAGAACTGTTCTGCATTTCGTTTGCATCTTTTAATCTTATTCCTTACTTTGTTTCAACCGCACCGATCTTTCTCTCTGTATTCACCCGATGTCTCTGTTTTTAGCTCGGCTCATTCTCCGGAATGCATTCCTGCCTCATCTACATTTTTTCCCTCCTTTCATCCTTCCAGCAAAGAATCCTTTTTACACACTTTTTTTCTCATTAACAAACTCCACATACTGCTGTGTCATCGGCAGCATAATTCTTTCCGCTCTCTATCAAACCGCTTGCGCAGTCTCCTTCCGAAAGGCCTGGCGCCTATTCATCCTGACGGGAGATCGATATTTCTCTCGCTTTTGAGATGCACGTCTCTCTTTCGCAACTGGATTTCCTCGGAGTGCCACCCCCATCCCACCCCCCGCCCACGAAGATGTTTTGCTTCTCATCCAAGAAGCTTCTTCAGTTCTTGGAGGAGAAGCGAAACGTTTTCAAAGCAAAAAAAATCGAACAAACCCAAGTCCTATCGACTTTTGGAAAAGCCCCTCACTGGAAACCGCTTCTGGGCTTTGTGCTTGAGGCAAAAAAAAAACAAACAAACCCGAAACTTTGTCAGAGTCTGTTCATGAACTGGAATAGAGCATGGCCAATGAATAGGCATAGCAACTAAGTTGGCCAATGAGGGCTGTTTGGAAACTGAAACTGGAAGGAGCCTGGATGTGGCCGTAACGTCTGTCTATTGAAAGTGAGACGGCTTCTCTCCTCTGCTGTGTGACTTGCTTGCCTGCTGAACTAAAGTGAAACCGATGTCTGTTTCTGAGCTCCTGAGTTGCTGTTGAAGTTACTTGCAACATGTTTCGGTCGGAGTTTGCTCCACGTTGGAGAAATCTACAACTGGTTTGTAAAATCTACTTATTATGTTTATAAAGAGGTTAAATGAAGCCCCGGTCATCTGTCTTTTCTTTTCTGGTGCTGAACTTACGCTGCAGTACTCTGGACAAACTTTGATTTGGGGTTTTACTGGTTAGATAGATTGATTGCTATAGAAATGGCTAGTTTCTGTTATTATGCAAAAGTATAAAGTTGAAGGTAGATGTTAACGTCTTATTTTACTGCACCCAAAGAGTCATGAGTCAATGCCTTTTTTCTTCCCTCTTGCTTTCTCCCACTATCCCCTGCCCTTTTTCCTTTTCTAATTTCCCTAATATTTGCCTTTGTATTCTTTTCATATGTCGTGTTGTAAAATTAATAAAACTATAAATACTGACTTTTGGAAAAGCCCCTTTGTGACAACCATGATCTGGATGACTGAGAATCTCCACAAACATTTGCCCTGGAATACTTTTGCGCGCTGACGATTAAGGCTACACATCCATTCCGTGCAAATCTCAGTCATAATCTCACCACACCAAGCAACTCTTGGCAGAAAGGACCACAACTTCAGCAAACACCACAAAGCCACTTTTTCTCCATCTTTCACGTGTTTGGGTTTTTTGGTTTTTTTTTTTTTTTTTTGGAGAAGATGACATCTTGAGTACAAAGGAAATCATGGCACACTTTCTACGTGGATAATTTGTACCCCGCTTCATTCCCAGGGCAACAAATCACACACCTTGGCCTGTTTCTGGAAACACCTGTCCGGGGAGGTGTCCTTATTCCGTCTTTCGTACCAGCCTTGCTGTCAGTTTTGGAGGCCATTTTGTAATTAGAAGCTTCCATGCCTGGGAATTTGGGAGGGGGGATTCCATAGAGAGGGGGAAGTTTAGACATAAGCAACACTCCTTTCTCAGAGAGTCAAGGACTTGCTGCCCTGCACCTGGAGGGGAGTGACTGGAGGGCTGTCTCCACTTGGGATGAAGATTTGGTTGGGCCGTGGGATGGACTGGTGGGTGCAGGAGGATGGGATTTGGATTCTTTTTTAATTATGCAGGGAAATGTTCTCAACAAAGGCTTCCGAGACCGTAATTACACACACACTTATTTTAAAAACAAGTCTGGTTATATTTCAATGCTGGGAATTATGTGCATTCCCAGCCGGTAATGAATGTCAAACAGTCCCTCAAGATAAGCACCCACCTTTCTCTCCTTTGAATGGCTGCCAACAACTAGAGTGCCAAATGAGTGATAAAAAACACCAACCGAAGTACAAACTCCAGACAGAGCTTCAAGAATGAATTTGAACCGAATGGACGACATTGCTTCCTGCAAAGGTTTCCCTACCTTTGCCTGTCCTTTATACCTTAGGGGAGGGGCAATCACCTCCCAGCCTTACTCCCGAGTCGCCCCTTTTGTCTTAACTGCTCTTGCCTTCTGGCAGCTCTGCCCACTTGACTGTTTCCTAGTATGATTGGATTGTTGATTGTACCCTATGACTACCATTAAGTGTTGTACATTAGGATTCTTGATTCTTAACAAATGTATCTTTTCTTTATGTATACTGAGAGTATTTACACCAAGACAAATTCCTTGTGCGTCCAATCACACTTGGCCAATAAAGAATTCTATTCTATTCTATTCTATTCTATTCTATTCTATTCTATTCTATTCTATT